GGCTCCCAGGGCTTCCAGTCAGACCCTGCAGGACAGTGCGAGGTTCATGAGGAGCTCAGGAATCCCAAGGGATGCTCCAGCGGATGTGAGCATCCTGGAAAGTGGCTTCTCTGGAAGCATGGGGAGCACAGGGAGTGTGCCCACCCTGTGCACTCACCTTGGCACCCGGCAGGCCGGGCTCCCCAGGGCGTCCAGCTTCACCGGGAGATCCTTTGGGGCCAACGGGGCCGGGGGAGCCGCGCTCGCCGGGGGGACCCTGGGGTTGGGTTGGAGAGGGGACAGAGTTACCTCCATTGCAGGACATCACCCAGGGATGAGGACCGGAGCATGTCACAAGAGGTGACAGTGGCATTAGGCCACTGCAGGGGGATGGGGGACAGATGCCTGGTGTTCCCACTGAGGACATTCTCGCCCAGGCAGGAGGGAGATGTGGGCACCTACCTTGGGACCAGCGATTCCATCAGCACCAGGGAAACCACGGCTGCCTGGAGCACCCTGCAAGGGACACAGAGGGGTCAGCATGGAGACATGGGGTGACCCCGGAGGTGCAGGGGAGGGATGCAGTGATGTGGGATCTGGCCACCAGCAGCCTGGTGTCCTGTGTTGGAAGAGGCTGGGGATGTCCCCACGTGTGGGGATGTCCCCAAGCACTGACAAGGCTCAGCTGCTGGACATCAGGAGATGGGAGAAGGATAGGGACAGGGACAGGGACAGGAACCATGGTGGGGATGAGACAGAGGTTGTTCCTACTCACACGTTCACCGGCAGGGCCGGGAAGCCCAGCAGGGCCGGGCTCACCACGAGCTCCTCTCTTGCCTTCCTCACCAGCTGGGCCAGGTGGACCTTGGACACCAGCGGGACCCTGGGGAAGAAGGAGAAGGGATGAGCACCCACTGCGGGGAGCAAGGAGGGGCTGAAACCCCCAGGAGATGGGGGTGGGGGTGACTTACGGGTTCGCCTTTGGCACCAGTGTCTCCCTTGTTGCCTGGAGCACCGGGTTCACCCTGGAGGAGAAGGAAAGAAGAGGGAAAAGCAATTGAACACCATACTGATGAGCAAAGGGAGCCCTGAGCCACATCCTGCTCAGCATCTGTCAGCCCCAGCGCCATCCTGCACTCGCAGGGCTGGGGATGCTGGAGGAGACACCTCCAGGCCAGGCAGCAGCTCGCTGGAGCAGCAGAAGGGATCAGACCATGGGAAGAGGTGGATGGAGGTGTCCAGGGATACTCACGCTGTTACCCTTGGGGCCAGGGGCACCGCTGGGACCCTGGGGTCCAGAGGGACCACGGGCACCAGGGAAGCCAGGAGCACCCGCAATGCCTGGAGCACCCTGGAAGAGGCAGATGGTGGTGAGGGAGCAGCACAGCCCCGCAGCCCAGAGCCGGGTCAGGGGTGATGGACACTCACAGTTGCACCCTTGGCACCAGGTTGACCATCAGCACCGGGGTTGCCCTGGGGAGAGGAAGAGGAGAAGGAGGGTTATGCTGGGGCTGGCAGGACAAGAGGCCAAAGGACAGGGAGCTGTTGGATGTGACTTACAGCAGGACCAGCGGCGCCAGCAGGGCCGGGGGGACCAGGCTCACCGCGGGCACCCTGGGGACCTTCACTGCCACGAGCACCCTGGGGACCAGTTTCACCCTGGGGAGGAAGAGGACAGAGGAAGAAGTATGAGCACAAGGGCTGCCATGAGACCCCTGACACGGCTGATTTCCCCCTCAGCAGCAGCTCCTTTCCCATGGAGGCACAACCAGGAGAGGTGCCCATGAGGCTTGGCTGGGGCATCCCCATCCAGTGTCCTGGGCAGCCCACAGCACTTTGGGCTTTCTCAGTTTTGGGCCACATGAGGAACCCATGTGATGCTTGGTCCTTCTCCCCAACCCTTTGCTCCCAGTTTCCACCAGTTCCTCCCAGCCCAGGAGATGCCATTTTGGGAGGAGATGCTCAGGCAGGTCCTACCTTAGCACCAGCAGCACCAGGGAAGCCGGGGGGACCAGCTGGGCCAGTTGGACCCTACGCAGGAGAGAGGGCACAAGTCAGAGCAGGGATCCGACCTCGCACATCTGGTTTTCCAGGCAGGAGAGCTCTGGCTCTGGCCACAGCCGAGCTGGAATGGGATCTCCCTCTGGAGAAGCCAGAGCCACTGCTGGGTGCTGGCAGGTGGGTCTAGGGGTTACTTACAGGAGGACCGGCAGCACCAGGAGCACCATCGTTACCACGAGCACCCTGCAGCAGGGAAGGCCCCGTTAGTGATGCTCAGTGTCAGAAGAGGTGCCTCTGGCCCCCCCGCACATGGTGGGGCTCAGCCCTGTCCCGGGATACTCACAGCGGGGCCAGATGGACCAGGACGGCCTCTCTCGCCGGGAAGACCACGAGGACCCTGGGGAGGGGAGAGGACGTGTTCAGTCACCATGGGAGACATTTCCTCTTTCCAGGCCTCCTCCCATCCCTGCACGCCCCTGGTCCTGCCCGCAGGGTTAAACCCCCTCCCACCCCATTCTCTGGGGTATCCCTGGGAAGCATCCCTGAGGACGAGCTGGATCCCCATCACATCTTGGCCCCTGTCCCTTTTTGCTGGCCAAGGCCAGCTCCCCACCATAGTCCCCATGGTCCTCAGCACTCACCATCTGCCCAGGAGCTCCATTCTCCCCAGGGCTGCCAGGCTCGCCCTAGGAGAAAGGACAACATTGAGGCACCTGCTCCGGAGGGAGGGAGCAGCAATGGCTTTACTGGGAGGACAAGGGTGATGCTGCCACCACTCCTCACCTTGGGGCCAGCAGGACCGGGCTCACCCTTAGCACCATCCAGACCACTGAAGCCCTGGGGAGTAGGAGAGAGAAGAATTGGGGGGTCAGGAGGGGAACCCCAGTGAGGTTGGGCTCCCCCTTCCCTAAACCATGCAGACATGGGAGGAAGGAAGGACTCACTCTGTGACCCTTCATGCCTGGCAGACCGGCAGTTCCTGGGAGACCACGTGCACCCTAGAGGAAAGGGGACATGGTGATGGAAGTGACCAAGGTGGGGTGTCCCTGCACCCTGTTACCTGTGTCCCCAGGGGGAACAGGCAGCTGCTGTCACATCCTTACACCTCGCCATGGCAGGGTGTCCCCATGGGGAGGGCACCCTGGTGGGGAGCATCTCACCTGGGGGCCAGGGGGACCGCGCTCTCCAGGGCGGCCAGGCTTCCCAGCTTCACCCTAAGGACAAGGACACTTGGGTTGGTGGCACGTCCCCTGCTCACCTGAGGGGGGCTGGCAGGGCCACCAGGCCCAAACAAGGAGGGGGGACGCCATTCGCAGGCCACTTACATCATCTCCGTTCTTGCCAGGGGGGCCAGCAGGACCACGGGGACCCATGGGACCCTAGGAGAGATGCAGGGCAGGGGTGAGGGTGCTGGGGGTGATGGCTGTCCCCTGTCACCCTGCCCCCTTCCCAAGTCTGCGATGTGTCGGAGTGGGGACAGAGTGGCCATGGCCAGGGCTGGGAATAGGCAGCCTTGTCCCCATCCCCGTAGGACATCAAGCTGGAGGAGGAGGTGGCAGGACTCACAGAAGCACCAGGCTCTCCAGGTTCACCAGGAGGACCTTGGAAACCTTGAGGACCCTGTGAGGCAGTGGGAGAAAAAGGGGGGGAAAAGGAAAAATGGATTAGAAAATGGGAAGGTTGGACCTGAAGACCCCAGTGGCAATGGCTCTGTGTGTGTGTGTGTGTGTGTGTCCTCAGCGTGTCCCCACGGTGCATTCCCACATGTTTCCATAGCCATTAGGAATGGTTGGATTAGGAATGGTTCCTCCCTTGTCCCCTCCCATCCCACCCAAAGGGGCCCTTGGGGCTGCTCATCCCCAAAACAAGAGGGGAGGAAGAAGAAGAGGAAGAGGAAGAGGAAGCTACTCACAGGAGCACCAGGAGGGCCAGGGAGACCGCGGGGGCCAGCAGGACCCTGGGAAGAACGGGAAGTGGTGCTAAGTGGCTGCATATCACCTTGGCCCACCCATATCCCCATTGCCACCCTATTGCTGTCCCCATTGAACCCCATCACCACCCCACAACCATCCCATCCCTGTCCCCATCACCACCCCCATCCCTGTTCCCATTTCCATCCCATCCCTATCCTCTTTGCTACCCTATCACCACCCAATCCCTGTCCCCATTACCACTCATTCCCTGTCCCCCTTACCATCCATTCCCTGTCCCCATTGCCATCTCATTCCTGTCCCCATTGCCACACACCCCATTACCACCCATCCATGTTCCCAACCCTGTACCCATTACCAACCATTCCCAGTCCCCATCACAATCCCATTGCTGTCCCCAGTGAACCCCATCCCTGTCCCATCACCATCCCATCCCTGTCCCCATTGCTACATCATTCCTGTTCCCATTGCTTCCCTATCAGCACCCCATCCTTGTCCCCATCACGAACCATCCCCTGTTCCCAGTGCCATCCCATCCCTATCGCCATCACCACCCCACTACCACCCCATCCCTGTTCCCATCACCACCCCCATTCCTGTCCCCATCCCTGTTCCCATCACCTCTAGGACTCCAGGATCACATCCCTCCCCATACCTCCCACTTCCTACCACTCGGCAGTATCCTCAGCACTACCAGCGCAAAGCAGTGCTCCTGGCACCTCAACTCCATTCACACTCCCCTGTGTGCCAGCCCCCGTGCCACCCCCTAGGTGCCTCCCCACTGCTCACCATGGGGCCGGGCACAGCCATGCCACCGGCTTTCTCGTCGTAGCCATAAGACCTTTGAGGAGCAAAGTTCTGCGAGTGAGAGTGTGGGGTGAGCGGGGCACAGGCACCCGCTGGGGGTGCTTCACCCCTAGAGGAACCCCCCTACTCACTCCGCCGAGGCCTGGAGGGCCGGGGGGGCCAGGGGGGCCCGGTAGGCCAGGCTGTCCGGGAATACCATCTCTGCCAGGGGGGCCGGGGAGTCCCTGTTGGGGAGAAGAGGAAGGTGAGCCCAGCGAGACCGGGGTCCCGGCAGCGCGGGAGGGTCTGTGGTGTGATACCCACCCTGTCTCCTTTGGGGCCGGTGTCTCCCTTAGGACCCTGGTGAGGAGAGACGAAGCCTGTGGTTAGAAAAGGGGTTCTTCACAAACAACCAGGGGGTATCGTGGGGTTTGGGGGGGACAGGGAGCCCTTACCTCTACTCCAGCGCTTTCTGGATAGACAGGGGAGGCTGTGGGAGAAAGGACCGGGGTTTGGAGGCAGCCGCTGTGACCCACCACCCACCCTGAAGCCCAGACGCCATGGGGGCGGGCGCTGAGCCATGGGGACATTGCGCCGGGGCGGGGGACAAGGGGCGGTACCGTCGGTGTCGGGACAGATGGGGCAGCACTCTCCAAAAGGGATCTCAGCGTTGGGGCAGTCGGAGGTGTCCTCACAGATCACCTCGTCGCAGAGGATGTTGCCGCTGTCACAGACACAGATCTGGCAGGGTTCTGGTTTCCACACATCCTTGTCGTTGTATGTTAGACCATCCTGTATGCAGCTTCCAGTTTGGACTGGGGGAGGGAGCAGGGGGAGATGTGAGGGCAGGAGGGCACGGCCCCACATACAGCTCTGTTCTTCCTCTCCTTCCCTTCCATCCCCCTCGCCTTGCTCCTGCAGTTTTTCTCTCTTCATCTGGTTCTCATCAGCCCATCGCAGTGACACAGGAAAAGCACCACAATAAACTCTTCCCACATACGCTGGAATTTAAACAAACCCTTCCAGCCAGCTCCTCCATCCCGCCAAGGCAAATACCCCCACGGTGGGCAGGGGGTCAGCGCTGGGGTCCCCATGTCCATGGGGGACGGGGATGGGATGAGGATGGGATGGGAATGGGACGGGAATGGGATGAGTGGGATAGAGTGGGTTGGCCCCAGTGTCTGGGCTGAAATTAGATCCAGGCGGCTGTGGGATAGGGCTGGATCAGGCCGGATGGGTTGGGGAATAAAAGTGCAGAGACTGGAAGCAGGCATGGGGCAGTGAGCCAGAGACATAAGGCTACCCCATGGCAGGGAAGGGTCCTGGACATGGAGCGTGGAGCTGGCCCTGCCCGTGGGACCCCTCTCGGTGAGAGGAAAAGGAAGCAAAAATCAAACTGGGAACTGCAAAACACTCATTGCAAAAGGCAAAAGGAAAAGCAGCTGTTGCAAAGAGGCAAAAGGGAAAAGGCCGAACACCGTGTGCAAGAGGCCAAAGACAGGATGGGAGCTGCAGAACGGCCACTGGAAACTGCAGAACAACCACTGCGAACTGCAAACGGCAACTGGAAACTGTAAATGGCCACTGCAAACTGCAGAACGGCCACTGCAAATGGCCACTGGAAACTGCAAATGGCAACTACAAACTGCAGAATGGCAACTGGAAACTGCGAAGTACCACTGCAAACTGCAG